GCACAGATAAGCTTGGCTGCATCGAACGGCGAAGCAGCGGCCGCGCCGCCGGCCCGCGCCCGCGCTCCGCCCGTGCCCTTCGACAACCTTTTCCCGAGCAACGGTACATCAGCTTGGAGTTTGCTGGGCGGTAGTTTATCCCCCCTGGGGCACTGGCCGGTGATTTTATTAATAATTGCCGCGGCGGCGCCGGTCGGGAGCGCGCCCGCCCTGAGAAGAGAAGGGTCCGGGTTGGCGACACTGACAACCGCGCGCGCCGCGCACCCTCGAGTCAGAGCCTAGCCAAAGCGGCGCGGAGCCAAGCCCTGGACAGTCACAAAAAGGCGCTTAAACCCTTAAGCGGGCTGCCGCCCGCACTATTCGCGCACTATCTGGAAGCAATCCCTTTAAAAATGATTTGAGCTGGGCTGCTGACCCCAAGCTCGTCACTGCTGATAATTAGTAGGGATCCTGGCAGGAATGATTCATCTGCTGCCATAAGCGCCGCCCACATAGCATCGTTCTGCAACTAGAGTCGACTTTCAAGATGACCGCAGCGGTGGAGCTTGTGCAAAGCGAAACGGAAGTCTCAACGCTTTCGGAGGACGTTCTGGTTGAAATTCTGACAGCCCGCGCCTTGTCCGTTGCGGACGTGTTGAGCTTCGGCGCCGCTGGAAAGCCGTGCTTGGAGTTTGTTCAGAGATCGTCCGAGCTATGGCTTGAGCTCCTCAGAAGATACTTTCCAAAGCAAAACGTTTTGGAGATGTGCCGCGAGGACGCACCAATTCTGCGGCCTTTGTTCATCAGAAGGTAGAACATCAGGCTTTGATTTTCAAAGTACGGCTGATTTTGATGAGTTGCTGTTCAGCCCAGAAGTCTGCATTGCATCCTTCACAGGCTAAAGGCATAGCGCTAGCTTCCGACCATGCAAATTCCATACTAGCTTACCGTGTTCCTCCGCAATCATACAATTCTTGTTTGACTTCAGAGAACGCAAGGGGTGTTTTGGTCTAGTACATTCTCTTGTGGCACTCGAGTCTGCATTTATCTACCAAGAATGTATAAAGAGGAGAAATATTGCTCAGCTTTTGGACGCATCTTCGTCAGCCTTTGGCCAATGCTTCTCTTGTCTCCGCCATGCCTTCTTTCTGTTAGTGGAACTTTTCGAACGTTCAATTTCTAAGTTCCGCATGGCTTAAGACGCTAGCTAGCTGTCTCAGGCATGATCCGCTAGAGAGTGGTTCAAGCCGCCATATGTTCCGAAGAAGCCCACACTACGATCTGAGCAAGCTTTGGAAGATCTGACTCTCAATATGGCCGCAAGGGTGGCTCATCCAAGCAGTACACACGTCTTGAACCTGCCGGAGGACGTTCTGGTTGGAATCCTGTCTAGCAACGCCCTGTCCGTTTTGGACGTCCTGAGCTTCGGCGCCGCCGGAAAGCCGTGCTTGGCTTTTGTTCAGAGTTCGTGTAGACTCTGGCTCGAGATCCTGAGAAGATACTTTCCAAAGCAGGTCGTTTCAAAGAGGTGCTACGAAGATGCACGACTTCTGCGGCGTTTGTTCATAGAAAGGTACGGCATGTGCGCCCAGTTGCCCACTAGTATTGCCCCAGCTTTTTAGGGAGTTCTATACCCGTCGGTGTCCCCTAGTTTACTGTTGAAGGCTGCCCGATTTTCTGGGTCGCTTGAACAACTTGATTTCGAAAGCACATTCACTCCTGTGATAAAGCCAACGGTTGCAACAATACGAACTCATCCGCAGGTAATGCAACAAGAGACTGACTTTGCGCTAGCTGGAGGCGTAGCAGACTCAGAGAGTTCCGATCTGGTTTCTGCAAGGTGCATACATCGCCTTACAACAGAAGATCAGTCGAAGCACATCTTGATGCACTTTGTTTTCCAACACAGGCAGTCTTTCACCACAGCTGAGCCCTGCTTCTGATGCTTGAACTCGATAAATGCCTCGAATTTTGTGCGTTTACATAGCCCAATTGCGAGTCCGTCTTGTGCTCGAATCC